GTGACTTTTGTGCTGCTTTTGGATGTCATAACGAAAGAAATGCCAAAACCAAGCAGCAGGGATCAGCATTTCACAGGCGAGAAGTTGTTTTACAATATTTTACTGTGATGAACGCATTGAATTTGATATCACAATAAATTATCCTTATTTTAAGCTTTCATAACGTTAACCTATAGGGCCCTAGCCCTACTTTTAGGCCTCTGCTCAAAAATTGCATACCCATACTAAAGAGAGTGCAGATCTCTAACTACAAGGTCTATTTTAATAATTTTGATGGTATAATACAGGTAAAACTTGTGATACACTTGTTCAGATGTGTAAATATTGTGTATTATGTTTCTGGTTAATAGTGAATGAAGATGGAACACAGCTCAAATTGAAAAGTTTCAGGTTCACCTGAAAAAAAAGCACTTGTATTGAAAATATTTATTTGAAATAATGCAGATATAAGCCTAAAAATACGCCACAGTCATAGCACATGTTTTACATGTCTCCACAAACACATTTTACTTCGATTGAGTGAAGCAGGCCAGCATAATAGAGGTTTGAGTACGGACAGTCAAGCCAAATTCTCATTTTTGGAATCAGCTGTTGCGATGTTTTTTATATATTTATATATATTTTATATACTAATTAACTATATATTTCACTTGTTCTATCACTACTAGTGTTCAATACATCCTAATACAGCAGTTTGGCATCATTTTGAGCCATTTTCAGATCTCTCCATGGCATTTTCTCATCTTTGTTTGAGTCGGTGGAGACCTTTTTAAGGCCTATGATTGGCGGATTTCATCATGTGACACCTTGTTCGATGCGGAAGAGACTCAGGCAAGCAGTAGGCGGGTTATTTAGTAGATTGACAGAGTTTTTACCCACTAAAAATCTAGATCTGTGTGGCCAACCCCCACGCGTAAAATCATTAGACCAGCAGTGAAATGCTGACCATTTCGTCATAGGACCTCCCAGAAATGCCATTTTAACACAGGCAGACAGTTGATGCATAGGGACTATTCCGCTGGAACGGATTATGATGATTTTCCACCGTTTTTCGTCATGAAAATCACCAAAAGGTACGCTAAGCTTCAATTTTTTTGCTGGGGAGCGGTATGTTGTTCGTTGGCTTTATATATGTAACTTTTGAATGGTTTGACAGAGAGGAACGAGGAAGCTGTGATTCGACGCGGGGTCGAATCCATGTCCTTTTTCATGTATCCATCCGCCATGATAGCTGCCAGCTTTGTGATGAGAGATGCAAACGGATAGGTCGCCGATTTTGTGGCGAAAAATATGTGATATTGTGGTAAATCTTCTAGATATATTAGTTTGTGTATAATTGTGTTTGCAGTGTGTAAAATGGCTCGTATGATGATTTTGCCCAGACTTTTTTCGTTAATTCGGTATATAATATGTGTGGAGCATTAATTATATTTGTTTATGAAAAGTGCATTCTACGACACGCTGTACGCTAAACTTTTCTAAAAAGCCCCCTGTGGGGGGCTCTCGGGTCCAGTGACTGTCCTGGAACTAAGTTAAACTATCTTTGTCAGGGCAAGATTAAAAGATTAACATTTTTATTGTAGTTACAGTAAAATGCTGAAAATGAATCACTTTTCATAGCCTACATGTATAAGATTAGAGATATTTGTATTGTTCTCTCCTATAAACATGCAGCCCTAAGTCATTTCACTTGTATAAAACTAAGATAACTGTTACACTGCACAACCCTGCTGATGTACTGGATATACACGATATATATGATTGTGAAAATATCAACCTGACACTTTGCATCTATAAACTATATATTGCTAATTACTTAAGTATTTACCATGTGGTTAAATGTGTTTTTCAGCTGCTGATATAAGTGCAGACATGCTGCCCAGCCTCTATGGAAGAATTGCGTGATCTCTTTCCTGGCCCAGAGCACTTCTACAGAAGGAGAACCATTTTTTGTTTTAATTGGAATGTAGATTGTAATATTTATTTTCTATCTCTTTGTCTGCTAATGGATGAACTTCAGCGGATCCTCACTCAAGGGAACTCCCACTTCATACCTGAACTGAAGACCCGCTGGGGGACCTTTTTCGAGAAGGCAGTTTTATGGTGTTTTCAAAAAGGTTGTGAGGCCACACACACTCTGATCTGGAGAATCCCTTAAAAATATTGATGTTTGTTTAAATAACTGGCTGCAGTAAATCAAATGAGACTGTTTTTAACAGTAAAGCACTCAATTGCAATGACGAAGGCTTTGCCAGACATGTTCCCATCACCTGTGGCTCCACCCAAGAGGGTAGGACATGCAAGTGAGGCTGTGCTTCACATCCTTGAGGTAAGAGATTTGTGCATGTATGAGAATTTGCACATCATGTCACCATAAGATACAAAGAGTGAATTGTTTTTAATGGTCATATTTGTTTTTCTTTTTGTGTTTGTTCCAGTCTGCAGAAGACTCCAACACCTTTCTTCAGGCGAGACCACTCTTCAGCCCTGTTGTGATTGTCTGCGAAACCAACTGCATACTGGACATTGGAACCATGCCTGTGCTGACCTTTCCAAAAGAGGACATCTATGCCAGCGGGATGTATCTCATGGCGTGTTATTACAACTTTCACCTTACATATCCTATTTTTTTTTTTTTTACTTCCCTTCCTCCACTTACTTCCTTTTTGGATACGGTTTGTGCTCACTACTTTAAACCGCCCTATTTCTTTAATCCTGTCCGCTCGCTCTCTTTACTCTTCATTTCTACATACAATCAACAAGTTTCCATCTTTCAAAACTTTCGCCATGAGAATATCTCCAATCACATTTTTTAATACGGTGGTTAGTTTCACCGGGCTCATGGCATAAACCATGTAAAGTGTAAATGCATCATATTCAAAAACATTCAACATTCAAGCCATAATATCTAAAAAGTTAAAACTGCCTGAAGGTTTTATTCACCAATATATGTGACATTCACAAAAAGCAGTAAAAGTAAAACACTTCAATATTGTTGGAATATGACACATTTTGCAGATTAAATGGTAAACTAATCAAATTAAAAAACATTCAATGTTCAACCCATAATATCTAAAAAGTTAAAACTGCCTGAAGGCTTATACACTACTATTAGTGAAGCTAAGAAAGGCACATTAGAAAAAGACTTAAATAAGGCTGAGATATGATACATTTTGAAGATTAAAGTGTAAACATATTAAAAAACATTCAAGGTTCAAGCCATAATATCGAAAAGGTTAAAGCTGCCTGAAGGTTCATACACCACTATTAGTGAAGCTAAAAAAGGCACATTAGTAAAAGACTTAAATATGGTTGAAATATGACACATTTTGCAGATTAAAGGGCAAACTAATCAAATTAAAAAACAATCAACATTCAAGCCATAATATCTAAAAAATTAAAGCTGCCTGAAGGTTCACCCGGGCCTTAGGCTTCCGTGCTCACTGCGGCGGCCCTCTAACTCGTCGCGGCTTAGCCCTTGTGGCTCCTGTTGCCGGCGACGGCTGGGTATGGGTTGAGAATAGGTTGAGACCGTTTCGACCCCAATACCTCTAATCATTCGCTTTACCAGATAAAACTGTGAGACTCTGAACGCCAGCTATCCTGAGGGAAACTTCGGAGGGAACCAGCTACTAGATGGTTCGATTAGTCTTTCGCCCCTATACCCAGGTCGGATGACCGATTTGCACGTCAGGGCCGCTACGGGCCTCCACCAGAGTTTCCTCTGGCTTCGCCCTGCCCAGGCATAGTTCACCATCTTTCGGGTCCTATCGCGTGCGCACGCATGCTCACGCTCCATCTCTCCGACGGTGCAGGCGAGACGGGCCGGTGGTGTGCCCAACCCCACAGGGCTGGGATCCCACCTCAGCCCGCACTTTCATTGCGCCACAGAGTTTGCTTCACCCTCTGACTCGCGCATGCGTTAGACTCCTTGGTCCGTAATTGTGAGGAATTTAAGTATTAAAAGCATTCTAAGCATGTTCAATAGCACCCCTAGTGGTGGATATTGTATGTTTACAGTATATTTACTTATAGAAGTGTTAAACCACAAAAGCATAATCACTGAATGTATTAAACTAAAAAGTATAGTCACTGTATGTATTGAACACTGTAAGTATAGTCAATGAACTTGAATTATTGAACTGTGAAAGAGATTAGATTGATGTTAGGTGAGTTATGCATATTGGCATATCACTTTTGACTTACACAATACAAACACATATATACATGATTGTGGATGGTGAGATATTTGTGGATCATTGTGAACACCTTTGGATGGTCCTCCATAAACTGACAGCCATGTATGATGAATTCAAAGGACATTCACTTCCAATATTTTTGATGTATGCCTTAACACATACATGAAGGATGCATTCAGATTTAAAGATGTACAGTGAGGCTGTTAAGGTGAGGGCACTTATCTGACTGGGTTCTCCAGGTTTTCCTCTATTTTTGGTGGAACCAGCACCAGAAGAGCAGGCTTCAATTAATTAATTACTTTAATGCACACAATTTGCATGTTCTCCATCATTCGTGACTCTACAATCAGCTCGAAGTTAGTGACATTTGATCTGATAAAATCATGTAACAAAAAAGATTTGGTAAGGGACTGAGTTGAAATACAAGAGACAGCATTACTTGAGTGGTTAGTAGAATAACTAAATGTTAATGACAGCACAGTCTATAACTAACTAGTCTATAACTATTGATTGATGTTGCTTATCATCTCTGAACTTATAATGTATGTCTACTTAGATAATTACAAACATAAATGCATGGTAACATACATATGAGGTGTAAATTCACTATTTATATCAACATTTTAAAAGAAATCTGGCTTTACAACACAAAACATTGTAAATCGTATTATATTTACACAACATTTTCAGCCTTTGATTAAAATAATTAAAAAATAATTCAGCATTTTCACAAATTCTAGTTAAATAATATTAGAAATGATCATGCTTAAGCAGGTTGTTTTTGCTCTGTTGTTGCTCTACTTATGACTTCCCGATTCCAACCAACAGTGTCACCAAAAAGGCAAAATGTCCCAGAAAGAACAAAGCCATCAGCAGGACATCAACTGTTATCTGAAATATGCAATTTACATTAGAAATCAGCAACATGTATTTGTTACTTTATTTATTTTTTAGCCTTTTTTGTCTTACCATTTTTGATTCCAAAATATCTGAAATCCAGAGAAAATAGATTAATTAAAGCTGCTGCAAGATACGTATAGAAATTTTCTACGGTCAATATTTTTGTATGTGTAGTCCAAAAATGACTAATATCTTACTCAAACTTGAGACAGACCCATCAATTAAGGTGTACAACATCAACTGGACCCAAATAACAAACAGACTTGGTTACACCAGAAAGTGGAGCAACAAATGAATCTGCATATGCTGCTGTAGCTGGTGAGCTAGTTACCTCAATATAAATAAATGAATGAAGCTGATTTCATCACCATTGATGATACACATATTGTACGTGTAGAATGTAGAATAACCTCATCTACCTATCTATCTGAATTTGAAAAAAAAGACTAATTCAACTTTCAGCTCACCACCAAGACATTCAGGGGGTCCCACGGCTGGATTGCTAGGAGCAAGTTATTAGCTGTGTTATTAGCAAAAGTCACTGTTAGGGATGGGTACCGAAACCCGCTATTAAAAGGGCCCCAGTGCTAAATTATTTAAGACCGGAGTATTGATAATCTCTGACGTTATCAGTTCTTTTATCTGCACTTTTAAAAATATTTTTATATAGGCTGATTTATTATCACATCTCCTGTGTTGAGGCTGAGCTCCTCCAACTACACAAACACAAATACACAAGCCCACACACAGAGAGCGAAGTCAGCAAGCATAGACGCCGCGATGGAGAGTATTTAATTACTACGATAACTACGCTCTTACTGTAAGTGCAATAAAACTTTTGCAAGTAAAAAGTCAATACTTCATCAATACATCTGTTCAACAAGCATAAACGTGTAAAAAAAAATGCGAAACATAATTTAAATCGGCTCCATTCGCAGTCTCTTATCCACCACTGCTGTTTACACAAGCACATCACGCTAGCTCGGCTGATAGCAAATTGTTCAAAACAAGCTAAAGCGAAAGTTGTCTGTCTGTAGTACAACTGTTTAGCTTAGTTTGTTCTCGTAAACGTCTCTGCTGCTGAGACAAAGCAGCCCTCCTTCCTCTACCAGCGGTACCTGCAGGCAATGAAACAGCAGAGGGAGGACAGAGGAGAGGAGGAATGACTGATACTTACTGATGTTTGTGTTCTTTATTCTTTATAAACTTCACTCAGGATTTAAATGTATTTAATTGACATTTAAGATTTGTTTCTAGAGAGATATTAAAGACTTTATATAAATAAATTCTAATCCTGATCTGTATTTATTCATTTTTAAAATAATGTTTTTGTTTTTTCAAGTAATTATTTAGTAATGAAAAGGAACCAATAAGAGTTGTAGTATCGATAAAATCCGAACAATACCCACCCCTAGCCACTGTGTTTGTTGTAGGTAAGCGAATACCATAATATCTGTGCACAATGCCAGTAAGACAAACAGTATTTGGGTGACAAAACAAAACATGAACAGTAGCTTTGTTCACACATTATAGTTGATGTTAATGTTCCACATGACTCTAAACCATTATTTCTCAAAGACTGAGTCAGGATGGGTCAACTCTGGTTAATCCTGACATACGTAATTGCAATGCAGTTTATATAATAAAAGATCAATACTTGGCATTCGTGTATGATACAATGTAGTCACGCAAAATATCGTGATACTAAGGTGTATCGATTGTTTCCCCCATCCCTAGTTGCTAGGTAACAGCTTCGGCTCATTTTTACCTTCTGTCAGATGATGTCATTCACATACACTGCAAATAAACTGGGACACAATAAGAATGTTTACGTTTAAAACTGTGAAATTGTCGATATATTATACAGTTGTGTCACTGAAAGAGTATGAAAATGCTGAATGCTGGTTTAAAGGTAGTTTCTGAATAAGCGGCGTGAATTTTCCATGGATTGAGCATTTTGATACTTTCACAGTATTTTTATAACACCTGCTTTATGATAAGAGAAACGAAAATCTCTTAGGGAGCCTTTGAGGTGGAGTCCCAGTTCAATTGTAATCTCTACTGCAAATTTCCTAGTAATAATAATATTACTAGGAGACAAATACTATATATTTACATTTTATATATTTACCCGCACTGTTAACCTTCCATTTTAAATGGACTTCCAACAGAATGTAGAACACAGCTTCCCAGCCAACCAAACCACCCATCACCTTCATCAGCCATTGGTCCAGACTGCTGTCAATCAACTTCAGGCCTGTTAATATGGCTGCAACTGTGTGATGTCACAAGAACACAGAATTATAAAAACTTGTAGAAAGGGCTGACAGTAGTATCAGTATATGGAATATCCTTTTTTAAATTTGTATCAAAGAGTGTACTGAAGCAGGCAACTTTGAGGTTATTTATCAGTTCATAATGTAAGACAAAATCTTACCAGCTAAAGCTTTTATAGATACTCCAATTAAAGCATGGGACCAGTTAAACAGAAACCGTCTGTAAAAGAAAAGAGGAAAAATATTAAATTGTCAGCTGCTGAAAAGAAACGGTCTGTCATTGTTGAACTTGGCAGCAGAAGTTTGACAAAACAGTTCAAACTCAGGGTCCATTTACTAGCTTGTTAGGAGCTTTCAATCACATCTAATGATCGTCGTCGGTGTCACATCCTGGTCCCCCTCTATAAGTTATGTTTTCTTATTTCGCTTTTTGTCTCATTTCCTGTTTTATTTTGGCAGTTACCTGTTGTCTCTTGTTTCAGAATCTTCACTTCCTGGCCTTGTGTGTTTCCCGCCTGTGTGATTATTGAAGATGATCAGCTAATGTCAGGTATCATCATGTGAATTATGGAACTTTGGTCACATGTTAATAGGTAGTTGTAAAAAGGTGGTTTCTTCTGTTCAAAGATGGTCTCTCTTGTCAGATGTGATCCTCCTTGTTCTTTCTCCGGCCATCCACCGGCAATGTAGTGTTCCCTAGTAATGTCATAAACCACCCCAGTCTTCCTCTCAGGGGGAATATACTTGGAAATGGTTAATGGCCTTCTAGTCTTCCAACCACTCAAAGCGCTTTAACAATACATGTCATTCAGCCATTCACAGCATTCACACTGATGGCGGGTGTGACCAAAGGTGTCATCTGCCCATCAGAACTATTTGACCATTTACACTACATGTACACCACTTCGGGAACCTACTTAACCAAGGACATATCGACATTGACTGGAGGAGCCGGGGACCGAACCACTAATCTTCTGATTGGAAGATGACCCGCCTAATATCTACTGTGTGTACAAGCAGAGGTTTTGAAAGGTTTGTGGTAAATGCTGTTTCCCTGTGACTTCAAGAGGCTACCTTCTTCAACACTGATATTTTGTCTTATAAGTGTTGGTTCGGGTTCAGAGTGATATAGTCTCACCAATATCATGACAACTGCTCATGAAAAACGTGAAATGTGTTTGAATAACTCCAGAAAAAGCTTGTAGGTGGACCTTGAGTTTAGATTTTTTTTTTTGAGTTACAAACTATATTAAGGTTTCCTGACAAAGGCTTGTGCTTGTGTGACTGTTTTCTCTCAGCAGTTTGTGCCCCGTCTCCAACAACACTTATATTTGGCTTCTTTAAGCATGAAAGTCATCTTTGTTCAACCATGGCCAGCATATTTGACTTAACAAACTAGACCGATGCATAGACGACGCAAACTGTGGGTTTAAGTGGCTTAATCACCAAATGTTTCAAACAAAGCCCTGAATCTTTACCATGTGTCACACGTGACATTTTTGTCCAAAATCAAGATCATAGATTTATTGGAAACTATGCGTTTTGAACTGAATGCTGAGAGAGGGAGCACCAGCAGAGAGATTTTCAGTCAACCAGCTTTCATGCCCAGAAAAGGCAGGCCACTGAAATGCAGCAAGTAATGTAAACAACATGGGACAGCTACATTTACAACGCAAAACTTGCCAAACGGCAAAGCAGACGGTGCTTGATAATGACGATAATGATTATACTGAAATTTTGAAGTTTCCATCAGCCACAATTATCCTAGAGATCACCTGATGTTTCCTTTTCTTCTGTTATTGGGCAGTTGCTAATTTTACAAACTCTAATGCGCTGATTGGTGTTTTGTAAAAGTGATGTTGGTTTTGCTTATTTACTTTTGTTTCTTTATGTACCTCACCTAAAATTGATTAAATTAATTAGAATGGTTTGTTATACATTGTTTTAAATTATAGCTATGTTTTAATTTGTTTCATATATGTTTAAGAAGGCAATGTATGTTTTTATAGCTGTTAACTGTGTTTCTGAATTAATGATGTGTCTTCATCCTACTGATAGGGACACCACGTAAGCAGAGCACCGATAACTGTTGGCCTATTTCGTTACATATAGATTTGAGGATTTGTTGAGTCAAACACACGCACACGCAGCAAGGTACCTACCGTGGATGTTGTGGTCCACAGCGCAGCAGAGCCAGTATGGGCTGGAGGAACGAAAGGATCATAACCAGGCAGCCTAACACAGGATGGGCTCCCTGAAAACAGCAACACTGACATTATTCACTGACATAATCCGATGACCCTAAAAACTGTTAACGATTACTTTAAATCACTAAAAGCCATTTGAAGTAATCTGCAATCAATATTTGAGGAATATTTGGACAAAATAAGCGGAACACTGTATTGCATCAAACTCATAAGGAAATCTCAAATACAATCAAGATGATATGCCATTGCACAGCAACAACCGAATAATCCTCAAAATGTAAATATACTAATTTAATCGAACAATCCCAGCAAGTGGATGCATTTCAAGGAGCAATGTGTAAAATATGGCCAGAATTGCAGCTTGAAACGTTAAAAATGGAACTCATATTATCACCAGAACGTGAAGTGGATACAGTGTTGAGATTATGTCAAAGATGTCTATGTATTGTGTTGCAGATATCTTCAGATATTAGCATGCTAACTGACTAGCCCCAGCCCATCTTTTAATACTACTTGATCCTTGAGAGGTGATAGTTGTAATGTTTCTGTAGTGTAGTTATACACCAGACGAACAATGACCTGATGAACAGCAACAGGCTTTTATTCCGAGGCTCGTACACTCACAGTTACCCCGTCTTGCTGGCTGCATGTATTCTACGTACCCCCGCCAGGTGACGTAGTTTTATTGTGAACATCACAATAGTGAGTCACTGGAATGTCCAGTCTGTCCTCAGTCCAGCATGAGAAGAAGAAAGAGTAGAGCTGCCTCGAGGACCTGTCAATAATACATCCATGGTCCGTGTGCATTTCAGTAAACCAGCACCGCCACAACTCCCAGCCAGATCAGCAAACTTTCTGTTGTTGCCGTTACACAGCTAAGACGCAACGGAGCACACTCATCAGCCTGCTGTGACTCACAGGCTGGTAAACTTGCAGAATATATTTCATGATATTGTAAAACATGTGTAAAATCACTGCTCAATTGGGGTTCCAAAATGCCAAGACATATGACTGACGGGACGTTGAGTGTGCAATTACTGTTTACGTTGTCCTGATGAAATAAGGATAAGTGAGAGAGGGAGAGTAGGGGGAACCATTGAAGAAAAAGAGGGGATTCTCAATTGACATGGGTGACATAAACAGTCAATGGATGTGATAGCACTGTGTGCTGCATGTTGATTAAAAACTAGTGGTGCTCAGATGTGGAGATAAACTTTTTGGACTGTTCTCCTTTCCAAGAGCATGTTATGATTGGATGCCATCCTTATTATCTCCAGAGGGTGATTAAATAGTTTTTTACTGTGGCCGAGGGTTTTATTTACATCAGTAAATGCATCGAAGAAGTTGTACCAAGGTTACTGTACGGACTTACCCAATTCAGAAGCACCAGGTTAAAAATCGAAGCATGGGCTGACGATTACTTTTATGCCCTCCTGACCCATTTAAATTTGCTTACAGGCCAAACAGATCACCATCACCCTAGCCTTCCACACTGCACTCTCACACTCAAAAAATATATAAGAATGCTGTTTATAGACTATAGGTCAGCATTCAATATTGTTGTGCCCTTTAAGCTCATCATCAAGCTCAGAGACCCAGGACTCCACACCTTCTTTGATTGGATTCTGAGCTTCCTTACAGGCAGACCTGAAACTGATAGGCACTTGCACATCCTCCACCCTCAAAAGCCCCTCAGTGCTGCGTGCTCAGCCCTCTTCTGTACTCTCTGTTGACACAACTACGTTCCCACCTACACTTCCAACACTGTCAATAAGTCTGTGCCAGGACAACAACCTCCATCTCAATGTCTGCAAAACAAAGGAGCTGATAATGGGTACAATCAGCCCAATCAGATCTGTGTAAAATAAGGCCAGATCCGGGGTTAATAGGAACAGATCTGGGTAGAAATGTGCACTATTTCTTTCCCAGGTTCCCATGTTTGTATATATATATATATATATACAGCAAGAGCAATACATCAGGAGGCTGCAAAGTGATTGAGTCCCAGCAGTGCTGCATTAAACTGACCCCAGACCAGGCTTTCACGTATGAGAAGGAGAGGATGAAGGCGATGATTGTGGCTGCTATTGTCACACTCATCACTGCAACGTGGACCTGGAGGAACAAAAACATTGCAACATTATACAGCACAAGTAGTGCAAAATCAACTACACCTAAGAGAGCTCTCTGAAGGGTGTTACTACAATAACCCATTTAACATTAATAACAAAACACACCCACACTCTGATATTCTCTCATGAGAATCTGGTTTTGATGGCAAGTGAATGTATTTCCTTTAAATGTGACGTATTTTTTGTTAATAATTTCATTTTTTGGTAGCGTGCAGCCATGGTTAAAGTCAGGTTAGATGCACAGTGTTCCTGCGGAGATAATTTGGACATATCTATTATCCACCTAAAATGTTTATCTAATCAATATCCCCAGTAATCAAAATGAAGAGATCTCAGTTTTGGTAAATTATGAAGGACATTTGGCATTGTTTTTGACATTTTACACAGTAAGTTTTGATTTTATATAGTAAATAAAATATGTTGTGACCAGATTTATCCTTTAAAGAAGCTGTATTTAACATTCTGAACATTAATATAGCATCAAATAACAATTTGCTATGTAGAGATATAGTGGAGTAATGTCTACCTGAGCAGAGAATGAAGTTGCTTTCCCTCTGTGTGCGTTATTCAAGCCTATTCTTGCTTTGTTTACATAGTCGGGCCGTCTATCTTCATATGATCTTGAATTTTATAATTTATTTAATTTTGTGGCTGGTTTTCCAAATGTTTTGTTCTTGTCTCTCTCTGAGAATGAATGAAACAACTTGATGAAATGTGCGATACATAACATAAGTTATTTTATGGCACATAGACATTGTATCTGAATCTCACCAGAAACCAGACATCTTTGCCGCACAGGGTCTGTCTTTTGGTCACCCCTTTCAGATATCTGGCTACCATCATTCCAAGTGATCCGATGGTCATCCAGGCTATCAGCGTCAGTGCCCCTGAAACACAATTTAAAGTTGTAATGCTGCAAAACACCAAACTGTTTTATGACTCAACATCCATTTTTGTTTCTTGTTCCGATACAAAACTTCTCTCTGTGAGGTGACTACGAAAGTTTATAGCAGAGACAGGAATCAAAAATGCATATATATTTAAAAATAAATACCAAGAAAGAGTGTTGTGTTACCCATGGGCATATTAACAATGTAGGCTTCGTATATAATTGTCAGACTTTCTGGGGGAGACCTGGTCTGATTAGGAGTGACGGCATTCATCCTACTTTGGTTACAGCAGATCTCATATCTAGAAATCTGACCCAGTTTATTTGTGGATCTTAACTATGACAACCCAGAGTGGAGACCAAGAAGCAAAGTTGGAGTCTTACACGCTTCTCTGCACTTCCATTAGAGCAGTTACATACCCAAAACCCTCTAGAGACTGTGTCTGTCCCACTGCCACTTACATTAATTAAATCAAAAGTAAACTGAAGAGGAGTTATACAAAATAATCTAATAAAAGTTAACACCACAAACGCAACAGTGTTATAGGCCATAGTTGAGACCTGGTGTTTGGCAGCTTTAAGAATTCAAATTGAAATGTCCCTTGTTTTTCTAACCTTTCTTTGTTCATCACAGTTATTTTAGTTAAAGTGGAGGAATGGTCAAAGGTATCAAGGCAACTGAAAACAGGGCTGAAAGGGGATACATGCAGAGTATGCAGTGATAAAAATGACTTCCTATAATGTAAATGGGGTGAACAATTCAGTAAAATTAGGTAAGATACTAACATAATTTAAAAAATGGATATTGATTTCCTGCAGGAAAGCCATTTAAATAAAACGGAACACACAAAACTAGGAAGACATGCCTCTTCAAATATATATAAATAAATCTGGCAATAAATGACGGGCAGCAATCCTAATAAATAATTATCTCACTTATGAACATATACTGGAAAAAAGGGCGGAAGGGAGGTATGTGCTGTTTAAAGGAAAGTTGGAAGGTACTATGATTACCTTGTTAAATGTATATGCAACCCCAAATAGTGAATGGGACTTCCATAGGCAAATATTCAACATCATGGCCTTGGAGGCCCAAGGAATTTTAGAATTATAAACTAGACTCATGAAGACCAACTACCAGACAAACTAAGACAAGTAAGAAAATATATACTGTTCGGCAGGAATTATTGACATATGGAGGGGAGGGACTTCTGTTGGGCAGGCCAAGATTATGCCCATTTTTGTAATCAACACTCTGTATACATTGATAATTCAAACCATAGCCCCCCTCTATCTTACTATCAATTTAAACCAAAACTCCAGAAACTCTTTAGCCTAATTCAGGTATACTTGATTACCCGCTAATCAAAGAAGCACGAGAGGGGGAAATTCAAGTCTATTTGGAATATATTGCCTTTGATTATGGGGAGGTGGAGCTGCCCATGCTATGGGATGCATTCAAGGCAGTTATTAGGGGAAATAGTATACATACAGCCCGTATAAAATATTAAGATGGTAAAGAAAAAGTTGAAACTGAAAAACAGAACAAAAAGACAGTATAGACTTAAATTGCACATCAATCCGTGAGATCTATTAACATTGTTTTATATAATGTTAAAGATACTCTTTGTCTTTTTCCACGGTTGTCAGAGCTCAAGCTAACTGAGTGAGAGCGTGTCCGCTCGGTGTTGGCTATATTGACAGCATGCCATGTCAGTGAAGACAGTGTTCCCACTGCCCTCTCACTGTGGAGTTATACATTGTCACATCCTGTTTTCACAGTTACTAGAGTGTCCTTGCTCAGGCTAACTTGGTGGGACACTAGTTAGACTAAGCAAATATTGACATTGTATACATTGTCTTCTGTAACATTACTGCTTTCACAGTTAGCAGAGTGTTCTCGCTCAGGCTAACTTGATGCGATGCTAATATTGACAGCTGCCGTGTAAGTGAAGAGTGTGCTTACTTCCCTCTCACTGTACAGCAGGGTATACAATTAAAATTCTAAAAGGTCCAGATTGAGAATATCTCGTCGTGCAAAGGTCTGGAACATTACAATAATATCTAACTTGCGCTATTTAGTGCCATATATTCAAGAAGCCTAGTAGTAGTAACAACGTCTCTGTGTAGTCAACAACTGTCAAATCAAATAAAGAAAGCACACATCAATTATATTTGAACAATTATTATTTTCAGTTTTCAAAATTAACTGGATGAATTATAAATACATAAAAATATGTAAATTCATAAATGTAATTTCAAGTAAAATAAGGGCTCCATCTAAAAATAAAATACACAAAAAAGAACTTTTGAAAAACTTGCATCTTAAAAGCAAGTGTTTGACTTTAGAAAAATTTATGAAAATAAAAGTGTGACTGGAGTTCACTTTTTTCTTCTCTTTTGTTTAATCCATTTCACATCATAACGGTCTCAGTCAACTTTATAATAAACAATCCCTACCCATCTCAACATCTTGCCCTAGGTTCAGACTGGAGTGGATATGTTTGGTCTAAAGATGTATGTTTGGTGTCGTAGTGGCGTTTCACATTGGCGTATTTAATAATGGCCACGGTATCTGAACATATGAGACGGAGTGGTTTAGTAGCGCCAGCAGGAAGAATGAACAAATAAGAGTCCGTCCATTCTTTGTTAAAAGCTATGTTTTCTCGGTCCACTTTTCTCTTTTTAGAGCACGCCATGTGAAATTGCTTCTCCGACTCACTTACTTCTCCCACTGCTCTCTATCTCGCCCCTTCTCTCCCCTGTCTGTGTGCAAATTTCACTCGACTCACAATGCATTTTTGAATACACATATTCGATTGGCTGAGTAGCGTCACGTGAGATGAATTACAATGCATGCAATTGGTCGGTGTGTTTCCTGGACTGCAAAAGGAGTGCCGTAAAGGCTAGAAAAGTCATGCAGGTTCAAATAGAAGCGCTTTGCCAAAAGGTATAATTCTCAATTATCCATCAGTTATACGTCCGGGTCTGGATAGGACAGCATCTGGGTGCATATCAGCACCGCGCTCCGCCTATTAGTGACCCCTGCTGTACAGATTATTTCCTGGCTTGTCACCTCAGACTGACTTTGGCAGGTTTTCTCCAGCATCACTATGTTTAACTCTCCGGGCTCTCCCCTCTTGTTTTGGCCTTGAGCATCTAGGGAGAGCCAATCGGAGGACCCGTACATGGGCTGCTAGGCTGGTGGAACCTCCCATTGTCAGGGCAATTGAATCCAGCCCAACCTACCCATTTCAAACATCGGGCTCCAGCGGATGCCGAAGCTCCCTCTAAGAAGCTTAAGTCAGACAAGCTGTCTTCTAGAGTGTCTAGAGATCTGCTAACCTCTGAACTAGCCCAGATGAAGTCGATTATCCTGACCCTCCATCTCGGTGCTGGTACGGGGAAGGCTGATGCATCATATCCAACCATGGAAGGGCTGGTTCCCGAGGAGAACATTATCTCAGTGGCAGCTTCAGCCAATCTCTTTACTGAGTATGGCGAAGAGGGGTCCTCCCATGCTTCTGGGCCTGGTTCCTGTTCTTCAGCTACATTGGGTCTGTCATTTGCAAGGCACTGGCTCGCCTGTAGCTAGATTAACGGCAGGCAGATCATTTGCATGCTAGTGTCTTCTTCAGGCGTGTTTCAGCCCCTGCTACCTTTACTGTTCCTCCTGATGAATATCTGAGGGAATTTCATGCATGCTGGAGGGACACTATGGCTCTCTTCCATCTCTCCCAAACCCTGGCGACCCATGCAGGATGCCGATGCAGGATGCCGAAAATTTGTCCTATTTGTCCTAACTATTCCTTCCCTCATAGTTTCCCCTAAAGAGACTCTGAGGCTGGATGCCAGGTTCCCTAAATGTTGAGCCACAGATGACCTGCTTTCCAGGGCTTATAATACAGCGACACGTATTGGCAACTCCCTCTCTCACCAAATGCTTGCACCTCTCTACTCTGCAGCAGGCTACTTTCGACAACTTCTCCAACAGCCTCAGTGATGCTTAATTACAGGCGTTTGCACTGATGTCAAGGTGATGCACTGATATCCTGGCCCCCCGGCCTAACCCAGGTGCACAAGCTTCAATTCCAAAACAGGCCCCCAGCCTTTCAGCTGGGTCAAAATTACCATCATCACCGATTTGACAAAAACCCTAGCCCTAAGCCAGGAGTTAGCCGTGTTGTTATGTCTTTTTTATCTTCTTTGCACACAATAGGTCAGGTAAAATAAGTAACATATAACAAGTAATAGCGTTTTGTTTTTTTTTACTTTTATTATAACATTTAGCATTTTATTTCCATTTGTGATCCATTGCACTGTAAAGGAGAAGGAGAGTAAAAAAAAGCCCCTCATATAAAAAAAAGAGATGGCTCTCCTGATGGTTATTGTAATGAACATTGATATGGAACCTGGATGTTTTTGGTTTTTTTAACTTTGCTTGCTTGTATTTTTCCTTCCTATAACACATCATTTTGCTGTGATGTATATTTGTTAAAACAGACCTCGTGCCTTTTTTTTGGGAAAGTATTTGTAATTATCATCTGTAAATCATCTGGCTGCCATTAAAAAACAACAGTTTATGGTTGTATTTAGTACTACTGTTGACATACAGTATGTCTGGGATCTCACCATGTGCTTTGATGATATGAGGCCAACCTGCTTTTCTGACAATCCGAGGTCTGGAGATGTCTACTTCCTCAGAGCTGATGAAGGTACCTGTATGGAACTGGATTTGTCCTGTAGGAGATATGCATGAAATAGACATCGCTGAATATTGTGCTTCCAGTTCTTTGTTGAACATTATAACCTTAGTTAAAGTAAGAGACTACTGCTGCTCATCTTGTTAAGGAAGCCTGATATATATTTTTTCTTTATGCCCTTATGTCTTTTTCTTTTTCTTTAGAGCTCCATTGTTCAAAACTTTTAAGAACACTGGGTGACAAGTTCCTTCATAACCATGAACACACAAACTGTAGTTTATTTTGACTCAATCCCAATACACCGTCCTGCTGCCAGAAATACTCACTAAAGCACCAAATATGTTTAAATATACCACTGAAAATTGTCCCCATCAAATGCACCATTTCTTCCTGTTTGAGTAAAATGTTGTTTTTTAAATGAAACTATACATGTAGACATAATTTTAGGAACTAATTACCTTTCTACTGCCCAGGGTCCAAATTAAGTTTTTCGAGAATATTTGACCTTCCCTAGTTGGACGATAACGTTATAAAGCAGAAATTAATTAGCAAACATGCAACAGATGATTTACTGTGAAGACAGACGCAATTAGTTTCCTTTCCCTTCTCTTCACTTCTTTTACTACATCCAACGTCCATCAGCAGTAAATGTCATCACGAAGTCAAACAAAACCTCTGGTTTGTTTTTTAAACATGTTTTTTTTTAGATTTAATAAGTGAGCACACTGGATTGCAGCCTGCAGAGAGTGTTTATCTCTGTGACCACCAGCAGCCCCCCTCACTTTCCTGGTCTTTAGACTGCTGTGGAAACTCAGACAACGGGCTGAAGGAACCTTTTGGTTCCTTGAAAAGTAGTTCTGGGACTAAAACTACCAGTAACTTCCTGCTGGAAACTGTAGATTTTGTGAGCTGTTTTTAAGGATTGACATCTTCGGTAGGAACCAATGGGCTTGGGACTGGGATTCACAGACAGGATGTGGAAGTCAGAAAGTATTGAGAGACGGACTAACAAATTATTGGTTTTGGTCTTGTAATAATATGCATAACAACTTAGTTATGCATATTATATTCCATTGCTGCCTATTAATCCCCCTAAATGTCAATAACTGTTCCTTTAATAGTGGAAAAATCATCTCACAACTGATTTATTGGTACATCACAAACTACAAAACCTGCTCATTAAGATAAAGATAAATCTCTGAAATTAAAAGACTCATGGACTGACTCATTATATATCTTTTTTTTCATGTGGCAAGACCATTTGGAGGCCCTCGTTGAAGTAATTACACCTAAATTACCTTTGCTGTTGGGTCCATGGGCAAACAGGATGTAGTAGGTTTTGTTAAAGCCAGTGGTCCTCTGAGTAGAAACGATGTTTATGGAGGTGAAGGAACAGCTGATAACCCCATCAAGCACTGACGCTCTCACATCAGAAACATTACCCTGGTGGTTAGATATCATTTTAAAATCAAGTTGAATCCACACATTAACGTGGGGTTTCACAATATGACAAGCAGAATTCTGGCTTTACACCTTGTTCAGATATAAATCAGTGGTGTCAGATGAACTTCAGTACCAGAGGAATAGCTTGTGGAGCCATTTGTCCTGTTGAAAAGGCATGCTGTAACCGCACAATGCCGTCACTGCCAATGCCACAAATATAAATGTCATCGTTTCCCTGCAGAAAGACAGAGTTAAGAATAAAACCGAAGGCTTTCATCAGAAGTTTTTTTTCAAACACAAGTAACTTTCAAGCAATCAATGCAAAACTGTTGAGATGTTCTGAAAAAATCAGTGTCGGCAGTGTTTGGTTGGGATAACAATACAGCTGGATATTCTCTAAAGACCATATTTGCATTTATGATCTCAGACTGGACAATTATACATTACAACTCTGAAGCAGATTGCTTTAGAGTTATAAAGTAATCTGCTTTATAGCTCTAAAGTCATGTCTGCTTTCCTGTTCTGGAGAACAGGAAAAGACAGAACGAACATCATACCCGTGCTTATTTGCAATCTTACAGAGCTCATTGACCATGTTAGTTCATGATACACTTGCTTTTAACCATGCATTTGCATATGCATGATGTCTAGCCCCTATGTATCATGCGTTCCTTTAGAGTGTTGTTTGTGTGTGTCTTTAGAATGTGGCACTACGTATCCACAAGATGGAATTAAGCACCTGAACTGTGGGGGCTGTATATCAGAATGTGTGGTAAGGAATGAACATTGCTGAATGTTTATAACTCTAAAGTAATCTGCTTGAGAGTTGTAATGTACAATTGTGCTGTCTGAGATTATAAAGGGAAATATTTCCGATGTTGGTGATGGATGCTCTGCCTGATCTGATCTAAGATTGATATATGTTTTAATCCTCCAAGTACATAGAAAGTATGAAGGCAAGTATGTGAAAAATGCAGCTCAAGAGTCTTATTGTTAGGATTGTTACAAAACAGGAAATTTTCATTGAATGGATTTTGTCTTCACATTACCATGATCTGATCATCTGAGAATCCAAAAGAGACATATCCATCAGATGGACCTGTCATCTCATAGCGGATGGCTGCAGCAGTTGGAGACAACATCATGGCTGACATGAAAAAACATTCAGCATTGGCTGTCGGGTTACAGTTTGAAGGCTGACTGAAACACAGCTTGGTGACACCACAATCTGCACTGGTGATACTTCCCTGCAGGAAAAAGACAAAACCATCCTCATATAACCAGGGGGCAAGCTTTTGGGAATGTTGACGCTTAAGGTTCAAGCATGGTTGCAGTTTACGTTGTAACATGTGGTTAACGTGAAATGTTAACATCATGGTTTGGCTTGAAATGAGTGTGGGTGTAACTTAACATGAGCTACCAATGTAACTGCATGTGACTGAGTGGCGAAACATCAAGTGGCTAACGTCAATCAACATAATATTTTCTAAATAACTAAACTTTTGGTTTCACACGGTACAGGAATGCTTATCCGCTGAGTAAAAGTCCGGTGTTTGTTTTTTCCCATCCACCACTCCTCCTGCCCACCCTTATAAAGCGTCTTGCTCTTAATACTATGTTCGTTGCTTTGAGTGTCTAATAACGACACGGATGCGTACATTGGAATTAAATGCGTCTACAGATGCTAAAGGGATCAAAATGTAATACTCAGCCCTGGAGGCGAAAAGGAGTCAGTGACATTAGGGAATTATGAATACCTTTGCTAAAGAGCAGAACATATTTTAGAACAATCAAGGATAGCTGTCTATACATTGTTTTTTCAGGTTGAACGCAAAATAGCTAAAAGAGCTAAAGAGATCTGAAATAAAAATAACTAATTGTGAGAGTTGGGAAAGATGCCAGATACCCCCCCATTATAGCTGACTTCATCATAGTGTTCAGCAACACCGGAAACCACCCATTATAGCATTAGGTCCTCACAGCGTTCAGCAACACCGGATAAGTTGCAGAGAACAGTAGACCCTCATCAGCCCCAGGGTCTAATAAAGTTGCTAAATATGCAAAAGCTCAGCAGATGTTTGGAGATTTTTTAATACCGATAATGGTGTACAGCAGGATGGATTTAAATTGCATGTTAATTTCATTTTTTTTTTTTAAATAACACAAAGTTCCTCCAACTCCTCATCGAGGCTGCTATTGTGGGAAGGGTTGGTACCGCACCCTTCAGTCAGGTCACTGAAACATTAGGGGGTCGGGCGAAGGGTCCCAGGGTGAAGGGGCGGATAATTAAGTTATAGTCATTACAAACCCAGAATATGGGCCCTCAGAAGGGTCTGGGTTTGACAGATAGCCAAGACACCTATGCCTAAACCCAAAGTGCACCCAAATTTATCTCAAGAGCAAGTCAATCAATCTAAACCTCTGAACTTTAACTATAGTTCATCTAATTGATTTCAGCCCTGTGAAGATTGTAATGTGTACCGTATTTGGCCCGTGTGGCTATCAGCTTAGTTTCTAGTTTGGTAGTTTGACGGCTAGTTTCACCTTGTTCCTAATCATCATTTACTTACAACAGGTGGTGCAGGTTGATATATTGTGGTTGTTGGTGTGGGGAGCCGTGTAGATCCACCACTATTGTCATTAGTGAAGTTAATGGCAGGAGTTGTAACATCAACCCAGAACGTCCTGTAGTTCTGCACCAAGGATGCACTGCAGAGACACCAATGAATCAAGGTTGAAACACAGGGATTCCGCAAAGTAAAAGCTCATTTTGGTGACCCACTTGAGAATAGCAATAAAGAAAGGAATGGAATAGTAGAAAATAGTTTAATTCACTCCTACTGGAACTGAATAGATTTAATGTCTCCTGATGCTTCTGATCTCCATGTCACCTGAATGGAGGTCTGAACGGAATCTGATCTGTGGGACACAGCAGAGTTCTGGACGCATGCATGTGCGCGCACACACACACACACACACACACACACACACACACACACACACAAACATAAACAAACGGAGACAGAGAACAAGAGAAAAGGTGGTCATCATATGTGCTATCTGAAGGTTCCAGATGGTTAACATTAACATTTTTACAGATGTATCTATTTTCTTCTGTTTTAAACATACCTACATTTATTGTGTATTGAGTTCTTAACACAGCCAAATTACTCCGTACTGAAAGCATTTTGTGCAGGCACAGGGACACTACTGCTAAGCTGCCACTAACGTTAGCTGTGTAAGTACATACTGATATCATGTGTATGGAAGATTTAGAAACAATGACAATTGGAATATCTCAGTATTTCAGTTCACGTGGAATAGCACAAGTGTATGGTATAGTATGATATGTTATAGTATAATGTTTTCTCAAAATAACTCCCTGGATCACCAGAGGAAAGCACAACTTGAATAAAACTAAAAATCCAACACATTGTCTCACTTGCTGCTGGAAAATGTAATCATTTACGATGTTGTTCATCCCGATGAAGTTTGACCTTCATCTCTTCACCTCTGGTCAAACAGAGCAAAATGTTGTAAATTAATACATATTCCCAAAGTAAGCAAGACGGTGTGGAGGAGTTTTCTCATTTGTTTTGCCTGCTGTAGGCCTGTATGTTGTTCACAGTAAAGTCTGCTGAATGGGAGGGAACTCACAGGTCTCTGGCTGCAGGTGAGGAGCTGAGTGGCCCCTGCTGTCGGAGTAAAGGAGCCCACAGGAGACCGACCTCCTACCTCTCTAGCCTGTAACAGGAAACCAATGAATGGTGTGGAGGCTGGAGCCTGGATCTGAACTGCGAAAAAACAATAACAACAGCTCAGTGTTTCAAGCCAGAAAAGCCCAACTGACAATGAATTCAGATATTACGGACACTGAGCAAAACATTTAACAAATCACATGCTAATTTATTTTCAGTACACTAGACACCTAGACACCAGACTTTCAGATTAGGGCTGCTTCTCATTATTTTAACTGTCTGTCATATAATTAATGTATACATTACATCTGAAAACATGCAGTATAAATGTCCATCACAAGTTCTCAGAGCCCAGGGTAACATCTAAAAAATGTTGTTTGTCTTATCAACAGTACAGAAATGAAAGGTATTACATTCATAACAAGAAAGGCGCACTCAGTAGAGTGCATATTTGCCAAGTGTGTCTGCAAAGACGCTATGTGATTGAAGTTCTCTTACAATACACTTCATACAATTTTGCAAAAACACAAATGTAAACTCGCCAAGCCATCTGGCTGCTTTGCAGCAGCTGAGTGGCGGAGAGGTACAGCAGTGTGTGCACTTCCGGTAGCTGTTAACGGTTAGTAAAACACACCGTTCAAAACAGTAACTGTGTGCAAACTGTTTCCACCCCACTGTGTCTCTGGGCTTACAGTAGCGGCTGGGGGTTGGCGCTGCACTCAGCTGTTATCACTACCAAATAAAACATTTTGAGGAACAAAATGTTACAAAAAACTTTCATGAACTGAAAACATACTGAAAGGGTTAAAGTTGTAAGCCAAAAACACGGACAACACCATGGCCAGACTACGCTGTGGCAGTGACCTGTCAATCACAAAGCAAACTAGCACACCATAAACTCTGTTGACTATATTTACTAAGTAAAAAAATAATAAGTGAAATGATGGACGATCACATAACAACTCCCCTCACAACAAAAAAATGTGCCATTTGCTATATATCACCTCGAAAAGGTAAAACCCATCACCATGATAGTTTTCATTTTTTGGGCTAAAATAGTGAGTAGCAATAACAAAATTGTAGACTTGTTGCGCTGTCCTCACTAAAAGTGACGACAGAAGTATGCAAAGAATAGTTGATTTCTCCCAGAAGCTGAGAAGCTTTCCTCAGACGGGGTTCGAGATTGCTGCTCCGATCCTGGAATTGGGAAAAATAATCTTACCTGGTGAGAAATCATTTTATTGTCGAACAAACACTCTGAAGTGGTAAACCGCTATTCTCACACATTAGGGTGTTAACTTGTAGTATTTAAGACAATTTGGTGTATCCTTTCAAAGTTGAACAAAATTTTGATTGGACCAGATTGTTCTGAAGATATAGGAGACAATAAAGTAGAGATAAGGTAAAAGTCAAAGTAAGTCCAAGCCTGAGCAGCCCGGTGATAAAATTGTACCTCTAATAATAAATGTATGTGGGACAAAGACAGCCAGACTGTCGAACAATTGGAAGAATGGATAAAAATGGGGTTTTCCTGAAAAGGGCAGTTTTAGCCTACAACAATTTGATCAACTCAAAATGTGTTTGGAGCAGAGAGACAACAGGCAAAGCAGAAAAAACATAAAATAAGGTCCAAGAGAGAAAACAGTTATGTAAACCGTTTAAAGCGGACTGGAAAGCATATAGTATATGGAGAGAGTAAGCACAAGTAAGGGAAAGAAAGAGATTGAGATTGAATAAACGTCAGAAAGACACAAATAAGAAAGAAACATAGAACAATAAGACAGATAAATTGATGAAAAAGGGAAATATACTGCTGAACTTTATCTTTTTCAGTGGATCCTGATCTGGACTCCAAACCGCCGCTGCCGTATACTCTCCAGGCACAATCAACATTACAGCCAACACCCACCACTCAACATTCCGAGGATGAAGTAGACGAACAAGATTCATTAAAACCCACAGGCACCATGTCAACGTCCACAACTACAGCCCCGTCAATGAACACTGATGACAATATAAACAAGGATGATCTGAACGCGAGACACCGACGACATTACAACAGAGAAAGAAGGCGGGAAGAAGAAGCCATGACTTGTGGAGAGTCCAAACAGAATTCCAGAGAACTTTCACCTACTTTGCCCATGAGTACAGACCCAAAATGACTGAAACATGACAGCTAATGAGTAAAATGCTCAAACATGATTATCATAAAATATCTGCGGCATTCACACCAGCTGTAATCAACCTGCAGTGTGTCGAATCTCTGATTAAACACCAAGTTAAACCGCAGCCAATGAAGACAGAGTTGTAGTAAGCTTGACCATTTAATGTCACTCTTCCCCATTAACATCCTGGTGAAAATTGAAAATAAAGACAATACAAAATATTCATTCTACGTACTTATACATTGCATTGTACTTATTTGTAAATATACATTGCTCATTTGCACATTAGCAAACATTCATCACAGCTACATTTGCTGTAAGCTGTGGTGGAAAAAAATAGTTAATAGTATAGAGTGAGTCCTATAATACTGAAATAAGAAACATTGAGAAAAGAATTTTGTCTTTGGAATATTTATTCTCTGCGCAGAAAGGTTTCATCGTCATACAGAGTGCAGTTCACTCTGCAGAGGATTGGCCAAGAGTCCAGTGTCTCTTGCTTATCAAGCCCCTCAGCGCAGGGTGGGGGACTAGCATGTGTTCTCAATAGAACTATTTATCAACAGTTTCAAACTGCCTATTGACACCTCCATTCATCCCATTCCTCTTCTGAGCCTTGTCACACAAAGACATCTGTCTTTTATTACCCTTGCTTATCCCTGGGAATCTTCACACCTAACCATTTTCTGGTTAAACTGCACCCCCATTCAGTTACTTCCTCTTATGGAAGCAAAGGCAGAAATACCCCATATGGTCTTGTTACCGTTCAGCTAGGTACACAATCATATGTCACATATATGGTTTTGATAGTGAGTAATGCACATAAGCTAAGTCACAGTAGAAAGGTACTAGTACAGGGACAATTTCCATCACAAAGCTTACATACAATTGGAAATAAACCTGTTTTTAAGTAACTTATCATACATATTTTTAAGAAATCCTTACTGATATACAATGTTTAACATGTCCAATGTCAAATAAACTTACGGCATTGCCTCTAAGATGCTTCCAAGCGGATGCAAGCAGATTACTCTTCAGAGCATGCAGTTCTCTGGTTTTCCTACCGCTAACAAAGTTACCCGAAATTACATGAACCTGAAATGATTAAACTGGAAGTGATTAAACTGGAAATTGTGTCATGGCATGGCAGAAAGATAGATAGATTGATAGAAAGGTACTTTATTAATCCCACAAAGGGACATTATTTTGCTAGAAAACACACTACCTGCCTGACCTATGTGATGAGGTCACTACAAACTTTCAGGATTCAAGAACATTCAACTCTTGATCAGTCCTTGGGTAGAAGTAGAACAATTTCTGTAATTGGTCTAAGAAAGGTCTTGACACTGCCTTGGTCAGTCGTCTTCACCTTGACTTTTCTTACATGTCCATCCTTTCCAGGGAACGTGGCCGTGATACTTGTCATAGGCCAGCAGTTTGCGGCCAGTCTGCTTGTCCCTGAGGAGAACTAGATCTCCAACTTGAAGGTTTCTATGTGGCAGCGTCCACTTCTGTCTGTGTTGTATGGAAGGTAAATATTCACAGCTCCAGCGAGTCCAAAACTGGTTGGCAAGAGCCTGGACTTGTCTCCATTGCTTTGTGTACAGGTCCATGTCCAAGAAATCTCCAGGTGGAGGTGGAACTCTTGTCTTTTGTATAAGGAGCATTGACGGCAAGAGTATGAATGGTTTGTCTGGATCCGTAGACACAGGTAGGAGTGGCCGTGCATTAATGATGGCTGTGACCTCTGCCATTAGTATGCAAAGCACTTCATGGGTTAGGCGAGTGTTTTGCTGGAGAAACATTGAATTGAGGATTCTTCTAGCGATGCCAATCATGCGCTCCCAAAAGCCTCTGATATGAGAGGTATGTGGCGGGTTGAATACCCAGCTGCTCACTGACTTACTTCTGCACCGTTTTGTCCATCCCAAGCTCCTTGCACGCTCCAATACAGTTAGTACCGCAATCAGATTGGAGCTGTTTTGCAGGAACTCTCAACCTCCTAAGAGCGTTTAAGCAGCCCTTGAACTCATACAGCAAAACATGATGGCCCATCGCTTACTCTCTGCCTGTCCTCCTCTGGTGCATCTGGTTGTGACAGACCAAGGTCCAAATACATCGAGCCCCACATGTAAAAGGAGGACACGTTTTGAGATGCTCAGGTGGCAGGTCTGCCATGCGTTGTTCTTCCAGTTTTCTGAGCAGCTTGCAGCAGATTATGCATTATCCTGCTGGCCTGATCGCTCCTTCTGTCAAGTGATGACCCTGATGTTTCACATGCTCATGGTGATGTCGGGTGAGGAGTAGGGAGATGTGGTTATCTTTGGGTAGGATTATTGGGTTCTTTTCTGCAGTTGCTAGGTTGGAGTGCTTTAGTCGGTCTCCAACGCAGATGAGAATGTCCTCCAAGGTTGGACTGAGTTTCAGCAAGGCACTGTTTTTGGATACTGATTTGTTGACTCAGAGAGCCGTCAGGTCTTTTGCAAAAACTTCCCTTTGTGTTGCTTTAAGGGTAAGATTCCTTGCTTGGTCCAATTCCTCTGGAGTACGAGGTAAGTTGCATGTGTGCCAGCCTTTGCATTTGCTGGTTTGATTTGAGTTTTTGAAGGATCTTGCCATATGAACCAGGAATGCTACTTCTCTTACTAGAGAGGCAAAAGTAGAGAAGCGTTGGAAGCGGTCAGAGGTTAGTATTGTTTTTGTGGTCGGATTTCTTAGTCTCTTTCAGGTTCAATGAGCTCAAATGTCTCACTTGTTTGTATTTCCTCTGTAGATGGCTGGTGCAGGAAGGAGGGTGCGGTGAACCAAGAGGTTTGTACGAGGCGGGATGCTGGTAAAGATCTTGACGCATGGTCGGCAGGGTTTTCCTCTGTATGTACATAGTGCCATTGTTCGGGCTTTGACGACTGACAGATGCGTGGTGGCATCCAACTTTAGGTCTAGCTTGTCTTTGATGAGATCTGCCATCTCTACTGCTCAGACAGCGGCACACAGCTCAAGCCTTGGGATTGTAGGCTCAGACTGGGGTTCTAACTTTGCCTTACCCATGACAAATCCTACTTCGGCTTGCCCATTTTCTTGAACTGCTTTCTGGTACACCACAGTACCGATGGCCTTGGTAGATGCATCCGAGAACACACACAATTCTTTATGCACTCCAGGATTCCCATCTGCTTTGTTTATCTTCTGGGAGAGGTGCGTCCCAGACTGACAGTTTTGAAGTATGTTCCCTTAGGAGGGCTCTTCCCTGGATCGTGACAGATGCCAGCAGACCCAGGGGATCAAAAATACTATTGACAGTGAAGAGAACTTGTCGGGTAAATGGTTTGATCGTAGTTGACGCAGGGTAGGTGAAGGTGTCAGTCCTGATCTCCCAGAGCAGACCCAGGCTCCATTGCGTGGGTGTTGTTTCTCCCCTCAGATATAGGTCCTTGATTACTGAGGCGCAATCTTCAGGTGGGAAGGCCTCTATGACTGCCTGACAGTTTGATGCGAACTAACGTAAGCGTAGGTTTATTTCAGCGAGTTCAGCGCAATCAACTTGCGCTCGTTGAAGCAAGTTGATTGCCTCCACTTCAGAAGGTAGGGAAGCCAAGCCATCGTCCACATAAATGTGCCTTTCCACAAGCTTGACAGTATCAGCACCATGCTCCTTTGCACCTTCTCTGATGGCTCTTTGCAGCCCATAGATAGCCACAGAGGGAGATGGTGTGTTGCCAAGGATGTGGACCTTCATCCGGTACTCAACAACTTCCTTAATGATGTCATTGTTCTTGTGCCATAAAAAATTGCATAAAAAACAATGAAACATCTGCTGGATATCCGCAAGATATGAAACCCTCTTTCCTGAAGCATAGCAAGACACCAAGGAGGGAATTGTTGAGATCGGGACTAGTCAGCAGCACGTCATTGAGGGACACGCCAAAGTACTGGGCACTGGAGTCGAAGACCACCCTGATCTGATTGGATTTTTGTGGGTGGTAGACCCCAAATGTTGGGAGATACCAGCAGTCCTCATCTTCTCTCAGTGGCTGTGCTACCTCGGCATGACCATTAGCAAAGATTTTCTCCATGAATGCCACATACTCTTCCTGCATGTGAGGTTTCCTTTTCAAGGTTCGTTGTAGAGAAATCGGTTAACTACCTGCACCCTGTTGTTCAGTAGAAGCTGGCGTAGTTCTTTAAATGTCAGTGGGGCGACCCAACTGTTACTGTCGTCCCTGTAGGCATTTGTGTCCATTATCTTGAAGAAGATGAGGTTTTTCATTGATAGAGCCAGTTTGTTGTCATGCTCAGTACACTGTCTCACCCAGCATCCTCTTTGTTAACGTTCTTGCGATTTTAAAAGGCTTTGATTTTGAAATTCTGCACTAGAATGTCCCGATATTCTCTGAGCTACACTCTGATGTTGGCTGCTATAATTCTGAAGTGAAATTAGTTTGTAATTATGGACCATTTCCTATCAAATCTAATCAGAAATTATAAGGAAGTTGGCTGGTGTGCACCGAGGCACTTTAATTCTAATTTCTCCTCTAAATTAAGGGTCTCAAACCTGTGCTCGAGAATTTCATTCATTTTCATTCATTTTCTCAAGAAAGTCTCCCCTCTTCTTGCCGAGCAGTCAATTCCAAGGTAGTGTTTGTGCCGACAGATAGCAAATCAAATTTGAAACACTAATCATCAAATTTGTGTGATCTACATTAAATACAGACACACTCTGAGGATGCGTATTCATACTTTTCCACGTACAAAACACATTGCATTGTGAAAGAGGGGCTAGCCCCACAGGCCCGCAGCCGCTGTATGCCACACAGGCCATCGTGCTGTGGACACCATGAATCGGAAGAACACAGTCTGAATCAGCAAGACACTTGCTACTTAACATGGTGACACAATTTAATCCTAACAGTAATTATATGCAATTTAGGAAGATGCTATATTAATAGATAATACATTTTAGCAGATGGTAAGCTTTGAAAATAATAATAACATAATTTGTATGCACAGTTCTCTCTGATGACGGGGCTATGCCCCACCTGTCCCAAATTACCAGTTGCCACTGGACCTAGGTATCGTATGGTTTTCTATAATCTTCACATAGTTAAATACAATTTTAGAGCAACCTAAGTTTGACTGGAAATAACCAGCTAGGTTGTATCACAATGTTCAGAGATGTCGCCGGATAAACAAATTAAAAGAGATCTGTCCCATGTTAATTAACTGACCTGAAAATGCTTGAATCAGCAACAAGTAGTCAAACTGATAGTTTTATTTGGCATCAAGTAATGAAATAAAAAATGTTTAATTTTGTTAATTGTATAATTATTCTATTCAAACTATAAAAACTATTCAAGTAGATGAATAATTTCTTATTTTCTTTGGTATTTTTGTCAAATATATAAATGCAATGATGATTGCTGGTAACATGTATGTTGATGTCTCTACTTGATCATGTGACAAGACAATACCATGGCGTGTTTGTATGTGTGTTTGTGTGTGCATGCGTCAAAACTAGTACCTAGCATCCTTTATGGCCTGTCATAATAGTGTGCAATTGGGCCCATTGTAACTAGCTTAGGTGACTGGGTTTAGATAAGCTTGATGCTTACCTTTCACCTCCTCTCCAATTCTGTAGCTGATGTGGTCTGTTGTGACGGTGAAGGGCGCTGGTGCTGTCTGTGGTCTCAGCCCAGAGTGGTGGGGTCGCATGTCTTCACAGCTGTCCATAACTTTACCAGAGCTGTAGCCCCGAGCCAGAGGAGTAACACACACCAGCAGCAGCACTACATGTTCCATTGCAATGAAATGATCACTTATCGCTCTGATCATGAATACAGCTGGTGAAAACAGAGACCTTGAGGAATATGTTATACAGTTGAGAGCAAATTGGGTGGAGTCTGTGTGGGAAACAAGGGCTGATTGAGGGGAGAAAAGGAGGAGGCAGGGAGGAGTAACATATGGGGTACTGTGAGAAGACCACAGGTACACAGACACCTGCTCAGTTTATTGAACAGTTCAATTTTGAACTTATACCAGTACACAGCGGTAACTTTTTAAAGGTACTTTAATCTCCTTGTAAAAACATGTAAAATGTAATTTTAGTTGTAAAAAACTTCTCAAAACTTCTCAATTTCAACATTGCTGTTCATTTAGAACATTCTTTCAATTATTTAGAAAGCTTTTCACACCCTACCTCCCCTCCCTACCTCCTTCTCCCCTGCTAAACTCGTCCCTATAGCCTGTCACAGTCTGTCACCAGGGCATAGCGTTAGAACGCTGTTGTGTGTCTCAGGGGCGAGCACATGTGAAAAGTGTAGCTACCTTAACGACCACTTTCGGTTCAAGTGCGACACGGCTGCGGCTCACCTGGAGATTCGACATATCGCCTATTATTTTCTGTGTGCCTGTAGTTCTCAGCAAAAATAAACTGTCAAAATTAACTGTTGATGTTCATAATGACAATAGCAATATTTCCCAGCACTTCCAGCGTTAGTTCCGAGTTAAAATCCCTGAAGCATTTCTGTGAACAGAGTTCCTTCATTTGTTAAAGCATGGCTTTTATTGTGAAATATTTGCAGGACTTGCACGGCTCCATAAATTAATGGAGTATGGGTTTTTAATTGTAGAAATAGTCTTAGCAAAAACCCCATATAGGTTACAATTATACTATGTGAATAAGTTTGGTTGGCCATTGTCAAAGGCAAATTCAATGTAGTGTAGTGGTTCCCTTTTTTTTTCCTCCGTAAAGGTTTCTTTTGGGGGGACTATTTCCTGTTCCGATGCGAGGGTCCAAGGACAGAAAATGTCAAATGCCAAATTTGTGATTTTGGGCTGTACAAATAAATCTAATTGAATTGAAAATTGATTCTTAGCTGATACGCCCTCCAGACATGGGATATATACCTGGGGATGGCTGACTGATTTCCTATAACCTAGGTATCACAGATAAATATTATGTTGGAGCAACCTAAGTTTGACTGGCAATAATCAGCTTGGTTGTATCACTTCTTTCAGGCATGTGGCATGATAAACAACTGAGGGTATGTGCTGCCGATTAAGAGTCGATCGTACCTAAAATATACTGAGGGAGTCTCCTGTGTGGGTCAAGAGCCTGGTCTACTGAAGCATATCAAGCTTCTTCTTATACAATACCATCAATTTAGTAAAAATTTGAAAGAGATCAGTCTCATGCTAAATGATTAAATGAGTAACAATTAGTCAAACTGCAAATGTATATTTTAGCATCTGGTAATCAAGTTGAAAATGTTGAATATTTTTCTAAATTGTATCCCAGTGAGCATTTTTCTGTTGAAAAGACGTTTAATAAACAACTATGGTCATCGGTGAAACTATATGTTTCAATATGTTGAAATATGGTCTATGATCCATATCTATGGTCTATGCCAGGGGTCTTCAACGTTTTTCAGGCCAAGGACCCCCAAACTGATAGAGAGATGAAGCAGGGACCCCCGACTATATATATTGTATAAAATTGTGTTTTATATTAAATGGGCCTAGTACCGTGTATACCTCTTTATTGTGCATTCAATACTAAGCTATTCAAATAATACACAGGTTCATATGTTCATGTTTTTATTTTAAACATGTGCAAGGTAGTGAGTAGGGTGGCCGTGCCACTGCCATTTATAAACATACGTTGTCAGCTGATACCAATGCCAATATCAACATTGCCAATTGCATGATAATCATGCATACAAGCACACAAATTAATCATTTTAAACATAAATGTGGAAACGAAAAATGAGTGATGGCCTATTAGTGCCACTGCCATGCATAAAGATACCTGTTATCTTTCATACAATACTGAACTATTAAAATAATGGACACATTCATGTTTAGAGAATTTTTTTTTTTAATTTTAAATTTAAAAAAAAAAATTGTCTAATCAAGCAAACATTTCGCGGACCCCCTGCAGTACCTTCGCAGACCCCATAGGGGCCGCGGACCCCCTGTTGAAGACCTCTGGTCTATGCTATTATTAACATTTTCAAACAAATTTGTGTTTTGTGACAAGTTGATGTTGTAACCGCACTTTAGCAGGTTGACGGCGAAAATAGGTCTTAGATGATTAGACCGAATATCACCCAGTTTTCAACTGAATTTCAACAAGAAATCAATGTTGAAATCTCAGTTGGTGCTCACTGGGATAACTATTCTATACAAACAATAAAAACTACACAACCTATTCAATTAAATCAATAATTTCAATTTTTCTTTGGTATTTGTGTCGAATACAGAAATGTAATGATGATTGCTGGGTAATGTGTGAAGATGTTGTCAATTCTCTACTTGATTATGTGACAAAACAATATGATGGTGTTTATGTGTGTCTGCGTGTGTGCATGCGTCATAACTAGTAGGGTCCACTAGGGTCCGTCATAATAGTGTGCACTTGGACTCATCGTAACTAGCCTACGCTTAAGCATGAAACTTTCTCCTCCTCTCCAAGTCTGTAGCTGAAGTGGTCTGTTGTGACGCTGGTACGTGAAGACATGTAACCCTACCACTTTGTGCCTAACCCTAACTGAGCAATGAAATGATCACTTATGTCTCTGATCATGAATACAGCTGGTGAAAACAGAGACCACGAGTAACATAATGCTGCTATTCAGTTGAGAGTAGATTGGGTGGAGTCTGTGTGGGAAACAATGTCTGAGGGAAGGAAAGGAGGAAGGGAGGGGGTAATGTGAGGAGACCACAGTTACACCATTCTACACCTGCTCGGTTGTGTACTACAATGGTTTCCTCGGAAGTAGAAGTACATAGTAAGAAGTAAACAGACGACTTGCATATTTTTAAGTGCTTTTGTGGCCTTTCGTACATTATTTTGGGGACAATGATTTAGAATTGTAACATTATTCAATACGTTTCATATCTAAACATCATAATAACTCTATAGCTGTTTGGGGACGTTTTAGTTGGGGCCACAGGCCTTCTTGCCTATGACCGTACTTGGTTAAGATCCTTTTCTCTGGAAGGAGATCCACAAGAAAATCCTGTTTCGAAGCCACCTCAACATCGATGGTGGTGAACCAATTACCCGGCTGATACAGTTACAGTAACCGCTTGATGGTTGACATATGGAACATCTTGCTGGACAATGCACTTGTTTAGGATGCAAAGATCAAACACAGAAAGGGTTTTACTTGATGTACTTCTTGTTCCCAAGAAGACATAATATTTCACACCTGCCTGTTGTGAGTGTGGATGACAGACACAGCCTGTCTCTGTAACTGGTCTTGGGTCTCTGCTGACAGGAAATAAATCTCCTACTGGGAGTATAAATTCACCTCTTTTAGAAAATAGCCCAGTCTCAGTGTCCTGTCCTCCTCCAGAGATTTAAAGCACCGATTGACAGATGAAATTGATCCAAAGAGCCCATCCTCCCAGGAGATTATCCGGGTCCTTTCTTGGGAGTGTGAGTCCTAGTCACACGAGGTGAGAGCCCACGGTGTCTTGAAACATAACACGGCCCGCGGCTGTTGCAACTCCCTGAATCAGGTTATTAATTTGTCTGATGCAAAGGTCCAGAATGAGACAGTGTGGTGGGGGCGGCAGGCTGGGAAGATGCAAGCGTACATACACATCCAAGTTGTTAGCAGCTGCAGCGAATCTGAGAAAATCAACTAGACCTACAGGGCTCTCGTCTTCAGCATCATCATCTGTAGACAGAGCCAGTATCTTAGAAGGGATGATTGGAAGCATTGGTGGAACATTGGTGGCTGTAGCTGGAACTTTGACGGTGTCGATCTTGAACTCCGGCTCACTCTCATGGCAGTGAAACATCAAGTCGAAGAATCAGAAGTGAGTCCAAAGCTGCCTGTGTCGATTCTTGGGCAGCACTCGGCAGACCAGTTAGGATTGCAGTCATTCTCCCAATGAAAATTGGGAGAATGATTTTAGGAGACTAAACCCATGGAGTCCAGTGGCAGTGTTGGAGGTTCATTTATCATGATAGCACCATTGATTATATCCATTTGTTTAATATTATTTAAATGTTTGAAATTCACATATATAACATCTGCATATTGAGAACTAGTTTGAATGTTTGGATATAGTGTAGTCTGAATGGGTTACAGCCTGTTTCATTTAGTAAGGATCAGAGTCTCTTGTTGAAAAAACTACTAAAGAGGCATAGCAGGTGTGTGGTAAGGCTGTCTTTACTACTAAAGAGGCATAGCAGGTGTGTGGTAAGGCTGTCTTTACTACTAAAGAGGCATAGCAGGTGTGTCGTAAGGCTGTCTTTACTACTAAAGAGGCATAGCAGGTGTGTGGTAAGACTGTCATGGGAAAAACAAGGGAATGCCGCTAGGGTTGTGATAAAAAGTGCAGAGCTGAGCGGCATCAGGAAAAGGCTTTCAAATCCCACTAGAAAGATAAAGCTGACTATGACACATTGGAACATGCAATACACACATTAGAAACCATACGAACATAACTCACACCCACATGACAGGGAAAGTGACATATTCTGTGATTTACTGGGTTGAATTCTTTGCCTGAAGAATAAAGTCTATTGAATTGAATTCTGTCTGATTCCAGTGCGTTCTTCAAAGATCATCAGGACACCAATAGGTATTAAGTATAGAATAAGAATAGAGTTGGGGAACAGTAGTTTAGACTTCATCAACTGATCCGGTCTGAACTTCTTTTCCATGACAGCAGAGTGTAGCCTGTGTGAGTTAGAAACACGACAAACTAGCAGCGGAATTATTCTCTATACATATGCTTTTCTAGTATTCCGACTACTCAAAGCATGTTAACACTGCATGCCATTCACCCATACAGATGGCAGGGGCTACCATGCAAGGTGCCACCTGCCCATCAGGACTAATTAACATTCATGCCCATTCATGCACAGCCTATGAGAGCAATGTGAGGTTAAGTGTCTTGCCCAATGACACATCGACATGATGTAGCCCAGTGGTTCTCAAACGTTTTCTGTCGCGCCCCACTTTGGAGGAAGAAAAATGTTCATGCCCCACCGCCACAACAAAATTGTAACAAAATGGTCCATGTTGAACTTTTATTGAAATAACATTTTGTGACTCCTCCGTCTGTGCTTTTTCAAATAATAGAATAAAGAAAATTGCAATCAATTTTAAGTAAACCAGATTACTCCACCAGACAAAAACAAATAAAATGTGCAATCACTTTGTTAGAACAATGCAAATAAAGTTATATCTGTGCAAAAAGGAACTACAATTTGGCAAAAAGCCTCCTGTGGACAGGTGTTGTAAATTAGCATTTCGCTTCAAACACTTAACACAGTGCATCTGGGCTTTGTGCATAAATGTATGTTACAATTCTAATGCTACTGTGATGTCCATATCAAATAAAATAAACATAACATTATTATGAGATAGTAAGTCATTATTATGAGATGCTAAGTCATTATTTTGAGATAGTATCTCATTATGACTTACAGGATCTGTATTTTTCCTCAGTGGCGGAAACGGGCTTCCGTACATTTCGCCATGTATTTATTAATAACTTAAAAAAAAAAGAAAAATATTCTGCATTTCCCCCTGCGCCCCACCTGTAATACCACTGCGCCCCACTAGAGGGGTGCGCCCCACAGTTTGAGAACCACTGATGTAGCTGATCCTTTGATTGAAACACGGCCCGCTCTTCCAAAAAGCCACATGAGGTAATCTGAGTTGTACCCTGCCTTAGCCCAATGTCAATTTTGATCGGTTTGGATATCCAACCCATGTTGATTGAACTTGAGGTGTATGCTTATGCTGTGGGTAAAATCACCTTCGAAGAATTGTTGATTATGGTAAAAAAAAAGACACCTGTACTTATTTAATATCATTTTACATTTTTTATTGCCCTAAGCATATTTTCAGCAGGTTTGATCAGCCCTTGAACTACCCTACACCCTGCCCTCAAGGACACATGGTGCAGTCATGCAGTAAGAAAGTGACAAGCCCTTCACAGCTTGTGACAAGAGGATTTACTTTATTTGTTTGTGTAGGAGGGTTGGGGGTCATTATTGTTATTTGGGTTGTTGGGATCAAAGGTCATACAGAACCTCCAGGATAGTAGCCATGGATGAGGCTTGGCTCTCACAGCTGAATGAGCAGTGCAGGCCATTCTCATTAGTCAGCTCAGGGAGACCCTTCCAAGGGGACCTAGAGGAAGACATTGGAGAGCAGAGTGGCCATCACAAACATGGATAGAATGATTAAATAATGGCAGTCACTCCTACAGTTGTGGATACTACTAGTGGTACCCCAAGATACATGCTAGTTAAACAAGCTAAATGTCTACTGCCAGGTCTGAAGATCTGTAACAGCAATAGCATGCTGACTGTGAATACCTCTCCAAGTGTACAGTATGATGAGACAGTACATTTTTCACCAGGACAATGGTTTTGTTATATGTCTCCTCTCCCATTTTCCTGGCAAAGTACAGTTTGGCCCTCAGGAAGTAGCCGGTGGGCCACAACCATTCCTGTAAGAGAAGGAAAAAGGCTAGTAAAAGCTAGTAAATGATTACTGCTTTAAAAATGTACTGTCTCATAATACTGTA